AAAGAAGACTTTGTCTTATGTCTGCAGATTTATTGTGCATTTAAAATTGCAGCATTCTTGCTTATGTTCAGGAACTGATCGTTAGCGTCAGCGACATGGGAAACGACTACGAACATTGCATTTCACTACAGAAGAAACTGGACGAAAATTATAGCGTAACACACTTTAATATTTTTTGTTCAGACTCGTTGTACGTATATCCGAATTTAGGATTCCATCGTCGACGATGACACAGTTAAAAGCGTCAATCAACTTGCGAGCAGACTAATCAAAGTCGGTCGAACCGACACGAAACATGTGAACGACAAACTTGCGGAACTGAACAGCAAGTGGGTGTGAGCAGTAGTTTTCTGCTGCTTTGTTTCTCTTTGCTATTGTCATTCATATAATTAGAATCTAATTCGCCTATTGCTTTATTTTATAATAATGCATTATTGTTCAGAGATTCACGTCCGTTCACTGTTAATGTGTAGTTAAAAAAAAGCTTCCTAAGAAACAGGTCCTCTTATACGATTATATTAATCGGTTTGTGGATGCTTCATCGATAGAAATCTTCATTCTCAGTCCACATTTCGCAAAACCACCAAACTTTCATAACCGGTGCACACTATGACTCCTATCCGAAACGTTGATCAGGCAGAATAAAAGTATTTCTCAGTCTGTCTTATTTATACTTATAACGATCGATTAGTCGACCGATCTAGAAAGAAGATTTCTTAGTGGAGAAAACTGAAATTGATTCGCGGTAAAGTTCAAGTCATTAATATACGCCCCTGTACTGCCCTCTGCAGGTTTAAGTATACTTCGTTGTTTAGTCTTGGGATGACGCTAAGATAGTAATGCAGCAATAACCACAGAATACCAGCCTGGACTGAACCGCAAATCAGTTTCTGTTCATGCGCTATGAATGCATAATCAACTTCTTCATTATCATTGTCACAGTTTGTATCTTTATCATGATTATCAGTGTTCATTATTTTTTGTGCAGGTATCGGTGAATGAAATTTAATTTAGGTGGAAATCAGTGAATCGTTCGCTTTCTGAGTACCGAATGCGTTTGGAGGAGGCAAAGGGTGTACACTCGATGAATCGAGACATAGACGACACGGCCGAGAGAATTGCGGAGAAACTTTTGTTACTGAGCAACGAAGATACGGGTAGAGATCTGTCAACCGTCGAAGTGCTGTTACGTAAGCAGGACGCAGTGGAGCGAGAGATGACAGCTTTGCACGAAAAGCTTCAACGCCACGAGCAAGACAGCAAGAAGCTGTTGGCCCGAAATCCCCCTCTGAAGGCAAGAGTGGTCGCGAATTACAAATGCGGTTCGTAGTTTCATTAAATTCCTTTTGAATTGTGTTCAGGAACAGGTTCAAGAACGAATGAACAGTTTGGATGTTTCCTGGCAGAAACTGTTGGAGGCAGTGAGGTTGAGGAGGACGAAATTGCAGCGGGCGTATGATGTTCAAAAGTTTTTGGAAAGTGTCAAGGAGACCGAGTTATGGTCAGAGAAGATCGTCGCCAAAATGAACTCGTACAGTGCACCGCGCTCCGTCGCTGAAGCGCAGTCGCTGTTAGAGCTCCACAAAGAGAAAAAGGCTGAAATTATCGGTCGCAAGGAAAAGTTCAAGAGTCTGTACGATTATGGTGATCGTATCTGCAATGAAAAACTCGGAAACACGCAGCTCGTCCAGCAGCTGATCGAGAAGCTTCGCAACGTCGAAAGCGATACATTGTCGGTAAGTGTGAGGTTGTGTTTTCTTGCTAAACAGTGTCTTCTTACTTTTACTTGGACACTTTGAAAGAATTCTCATCGGTAAACTCATCTACAAAAGTGGACTCACTTCAAGAAATAGTATTCACAAATATGTAGGAAGACATTCAGTTGGCAGTCGCTTCGGAATAACTGGGTCATTCATTCATGAGTGTATGGCCTGTGGATTATGGCATGTCAGATGGTACTCGAAAGTGCATCGTTTCCCCACAATTCAGAAATACAATATTGCACATACGCCCGCCGGGTTCTGAAGTAGTGCATATATGTGACCAGCTCAAAGGATCGCCTGCACATCTAGAGGTATCAGGACGATGCGAACATGCCGTGAAATTCGTAAATTTTACCAGCATTATCGAAAACAGCCGACAGTGCTAAACCGGAATTTCGTGGTCGCTCATAGTAACTACAACTCAGTGATGCAAATATCAAAAAGACCATCATCCGCGACTGATACTAATGGAGACGATAACTCAGAGGTTGCTTGTCTGTTTAGAAAGTGAGACTAGACGATGTCCTTTTCCATGCCATTGTATAATATTTGTCGTTCCTTACGTGTCTCTAAAAAGAGTTTCACCTTTGGTTCATTTAAACGGTAGCTTGCGAATTATGAGTTTTTTGAAGGAAGGGTAGTTTCATGATTGAATTATGACCTTTAACATAGTCATACATGCGCTTTAAAAAACATTTAACTATATGGATATTTGCTCTGTTTATAGACCTGGGAGAAGATCAACGAAAGATTATGGCGTCTCTATGATCTGCAGTGCTTCAACGAGCAAGTGGATATCGCTGAATCTTGGCTGACCAGCAAAGAAGCTATGCTGAATTCTGATGATTACGGTGATTCGCTGGACAGCATCGAGTCGTTGATAAATCAGCATGACAACTTCGAAACATCTTTGCGAGCGCAGAGCGAAAAGATCGATGAAGTACCTTTTCAACGGAACGTGTTGCTTTCGTATGTTATGTTTCGATTTAGTTGAAGCAACAGGCGGATTCTTTGGCTGAACGAGATCTGGAGAATGGTGTGAAGATCAAGCAAAGAAAGAGCGAGATCTGCAAACGACACGACAGCCTGTTTGCAGCGTGCCAGAAGCGGCGCAACGTTTTGAACGAATCGAAATCATGGCACATGTTCCTGAAGAGCTGCCATGAACTTATGAGCTGGATCAACACGAAACTGCAGATCGCCTACGACGAATCTTACCTCGACCCTACCAATCTACAGAGCAAGTTATTGAGGCACAACGCGTTCGACGCTGAGCTGAAGGCAAACGAAAGTCGCATCGCGACTGTTACCGATGAGGGCGAGGCGTTGGTGACCGGCAGTCATTTTGCCAGCGAGCAAATAACGATGCAGTTGGCCGAAGTTAAAGCTGGCTGGCTAGAACTTAATAAGGTTCATTGTTTATATCAGTTGTGAGCGCTTTCGTTACGGTTGTTATCGCCTTAGGCCTCGCAACTGAAGTCTCAGCGACTGAAGGATGCGTTCGAGTCATACCAGTTCACACGTCAGCTGGACGACTTCGACGCCTGGCTGGACAAGGTGGAATCGCAACTGTCCAGCGACGACCACGGCTCAAACTTGATCACAGTCGATGCTCTGTTGAAGAAACATGAGCTGCTTGAGCAGGAGATCGCGTCGCGACAAAACGACATGGACAACGTCCGCCAGAAGGTTGCTGACTTCGTATCCAGTGGCCACTTTCTTTCACAGACGATTAATGCGAAGGCGAAAGCCGTACTCGAACGCTACGAGTCACTCAGGGAGCCATGCCAGATACGCAAAGACAACCTCAACGAGGCGTACTCGCTGTACAAGTGGTCGCACGATGTCGAGGAGCAAACCGTGTGGATCCGCGAACATCGGGTCATAGTGATGTCAGAATTCATGGGTGAGCATGTTGTATCAGTAGTGGTGTCTTCACTGTGCGTGGACGTCACAGACTGTTGCAAGGAGCGCCTTAGCGGGCTGAAATTTATTAATGGAGTTTACATGCCTAAGAATTTAACTTTAGCCTGATTGTTGAAACGTCAAAGAGCTTTCGAGTTATTTTTTCTAACTGATGTTTTACAGGCGATTCGCTGCAGTCGACAAAGAACCTGATGAAGAAGCAGAAGATTTTGGAGCAGGAAATGAATGCGAACCGACCATCGTTTGAAGCTATCTGCAGTAGCGCCAGAACAATGATCGGAAGTGGCCATTTCGCAAGCGATACGATCAAGATTCGGTTGGAGAAGCTCGAGGCAGACGTGGATTCGTTGCGTCAACAGGCAGAGGAACGCAGGGCTAAGTTGCAGGACGCACTCGAGGCGCAACAGTACTACAGCGAGGCGGCGGAAGCTGAGGATTGGCTGACGGAGCGGATGAAGATGATGTCGACTGACGAGGATGCGAAGGACGAGGACGCGGTGCAGAGTCTGTTGAAGAAGTGCGAGAATCTCGAGCGAGACGTGTCCAGCTTTCGATCAGAGATCGACCGCCTGGCAAAGGTGGCAAAGGCGATGGCGACCAAAGGTCATTACGACCTGCGCCAAATCCAGCAGCGGCAAGGACGTCTCGAGGAGGACTGCCAGCGTCTGACGCAGCAGTGCGAAGCGCGCCATCAGCGGTTGACTGACGCCCAGCGCTACTACAAGTACTTACGAGAATCAGATAGTCTGATCAGTTGGCTGCATGAGAAAGAGACGGCGGCGATGTCTGAAGACTACGGTCGCGATTTGGACCATTGTCAGCAGATTATCGTGCGCTTCGACCAGTTCATTCGCGAGTTGACATCCGCAGGTGAAAAAGTGGCCGCCGTGCAGAAAATGCAGGACGAGTTCGTACGCACCAACCATCCGTTCGCAGCCAGCATCAAAGCAAAGAATGCTGACCTGCAGAAGCTGTGGTGCGATGTAAACGAGGCGGCCAACGAAAGGCATCAGGTGCGTTTATTTTTCGTGCTAACCCTTGTGACGTTGCTTATAGGAAACCTCAAAACTACCAGCAGTTGGTGTGCTGTCATTACAGATGGAATTTTTTCTGTTGCAATCTTTCTCTTCGTACTTTATCAGACGCTTTGCGTATTTCCTGAGAAAATTTCAAATGAGTCAAAAATCGAAAATCAGCTTACGTAACAAGCTGTGATAAAACATCCTTTACAAATGGTTGAAAACAGTTATCGGATTGAATGAAGACACCAAAGAATTGTAGATAATGAAATATACGTACACGCGCATATATAAATTGTGCATAATTACTTCAGATTTCTTCAGTGCATAATTACGCCGTCCTTGTGCTTCTGGATAACTAGACACCCACGAGGCATATTTTTTGCGGTTCTGATGTCAGTGATGCGGTTTTGCCTCAACTCACTGCAGTTGCTACTTTATAGCAACTTGTAATACCATATTACATGTTGTCATTAAGGGAGTTCTGACCCTGAACTTTTGCAAAGTTTACTTATGCCCTATTAAGTAAGGATTATTTGCAGTTGACACAAACTGATATTAACTCATTTTATACATTACTGAATCGCTCACAAACTTCGGTCGTTTATGGTTAGCAGGTTTTTAAATTGACGTTCTATGTCTACAAGAGGTGGACTTATGCTGATTGTGTGGCAGGTATTTGTTAAGGTTTTCCTTATCCTTATCCCAATGTAAAGTTTTTAGCTTTTAGCAGGTAAGGACATGATTTGCCTCATAACGTTCAAGCTCTTCTTTTTATCTTGGTCATATTCACCATGGATTGCTGCTACGTTCCGCGGTGGCAATCGGAAAATTTCTATCGACACTGGATTAAGGTCCTTCTTATGCGCTGCTCTTCCAGTAACGTAAGGTGTATGTTCCTGAGTTGTGCAAACGCAGTCGATTCCAGACATGATTTCGGTCAGCGTCCTGTGAGCCAGTACGGTGCAACAACGCAACACTTAACGTTCCGTGTAGTTTCTAAACTCAGAAAGATAAGTCATTGACTACCTAATACCAGATTTTGTTACAGTTTCGATCCATGCGTTTTTGTGTTCAGAAATCGCTAACGATTCGTTTCCATTATAACGTTGAACTCTGCCAAAGTTCTATTGTTCCTGTTTTTCTGCCGTTGGTTTCTTTTGAATCTTAGCGAACCAGTAATATGCTTTAAGGCCCTGCTCGGCGCTCGCCAGGTTCACAAGTTCGATCAAGACGCCGATGAGACGTTGAACTGGCTGCAAGAGAAGGAGGCGCTGCTAGTGTCTGAGGCTGACGATTTCGGCCAGTTCAGTTTGACGGAGATCCATTCAAAACTGCAGCGGCATGACATTTTTGAGGTATTTCTTCTCATAGCCACCCTCTGAGGTTAGTGCTTAAATTATAGCGCGAGCTGAGCGCCGTTGTCCGCCAAGTGGAGCTTCTCTGCAAAGAGGCTGAGCGCCTGATTTCCGTCTACCCCGATACCCAGGAGCACATCCAGGTGCGCAAGCAAGAAATGGAGGACGTACTGCGTGATGTGCAAAGCGAGTCGGCCACTCGTCGTGCCAAACTTACTCAAGCTGAGGAACTGCAAAACTACTTTGACGAATACCGAAATCTATCGTAAGTTGCTGCCAGTCGGTGGACCGTAAATTATATATAGTGACTTTGAATTCAGTAATTCGTGTGTGTGCTAAGATGCTAAGATATGTAACATTTTTATACAAGCTTGAGCACTGTTATGAAGTTTATTTCATCAGCGTCTTATGTTTACATCAAAAAATACCGGTGGCTTCAGTTTTATGACGAAATCAAGACTACATAATACGGAATTGTTTCCCTCTTAGCCCTTTACTTTAGAGCAAAACTACTTTAATATGAATCTGCCTATATTTTGGTATATATTTATTATCAATAATGTTAACCGCATTATTGATAAATGTTATACTACATTTATATGTGTTATAATTATGCAATTTTCATGCTGTAATATTATTTAAGCATTGTTTTTCTACTGCTTAAAGTAGTAAGAAGCATGTTTCGAAAGGTTTCAGACTTGTAGTAAAATTATACTACAGTATTATCTATAATAAAATCTTTCACTAGAATACATATACATTCATTTTGATATTGCCTATATTGTTATATGTTACATTAATTATTTATGATTCAGAATCGAAGCAGTTCTGTACTGGATGACACTGCATAACACGTTCATTGTGTACATAGTCTCAAACATTTCTAATCTTCAAAGCGCGATCAGGCAAAGCAAAATTATGCGGCAACAGAAAGTACAGTCAGCTCGCACCTGTACTAATGAGCTTTTAACGCCGATTGTGGCAGCTGCAGAGACGGAAGTTTGTCTTAATACCAGCTTAGTTCCTTTGCAGCGTTTTCGTTAATTCATTGATTTGACAGTGGCTTTCTTTATCTTCCTGCTTAACTTTTTCTTATGTATTCCTCTCAGTTGGACCCATAGTGTGTCGTATTGTTCTTGTACTACATGTTCCACAGCTTGAACATTTTAGCGTTTTTTTAATCACCAATAGGTCTATCGTTTGTTTTCGTCGTTTGCCTTCTGTGTGTTACGATTATGACGATGATCTGTGTTGCTTCATCTTGTCCAATTGACTATTTGTTCTTAGTCTGTGTTATGGTATTTCATCTGTGTTACGTACTTCAGATTGCAGTCGTAAGATAGTATCATCTCCAGATCTAACCTAGTTCATTTGAATTTGGTTTGCTGGTTTACATATGCGTCTCAATAATTCGTGGTAACATCTGATTAAACCGAATTTTGAGTGTTATTAATTTAAATCGCAGCATCAGTTTTTCTATGCAAAGAATATGTACGACTCAGTTTCATCATGACATATCCCTTCGCATTTCAGCACTTGGATTCATGACAAATACAACGCCATCACCAGTGAAAATCTAGCCAGAGATGTTCCGGGGGCGGAGTCTCTCATTCATCGCCATAAGGAGCATTTCACCGAGATTGAAGCCAGATCTGCCGCCGTTGACGAGTTCATGAAGAAGGGTCAGGAGTTGGTGCGCTCGAAACACGTGCTGTCAAACGAGATCACCGAAAAGCTTGACCGGTTGGAAGAATCTTTCCGCAATTTGAAACTTACATGGGAACAGCGCGCTGATTTGTACAAGACTAACCTCGATGTTCAAGTAAGGGTTATACCGATAACTTTAAAAATTGATTTTATTCTCTTTGGATACCTGATTACCCCATACTTGTGTATACTCTAGTACTCTACCCTGAACCTAGATTGTAATTCCCCGTTAGTATGCAAGCGGTTAAGTCGATTCTCGAGTGATTTTTTTCGACGTCCCATAGTTGAACCTTTGTTCGTTTATGAGCATGTTCATTTTGAAAGCTAACTTTTTCTCTTCCTTCATTGTGTATTTTATCTAAGTCACCAAAATGGCTGTAAAAGCTAGTATGAAAAATAAGCACATTTAATTCTTCAGAACTTCGAGCACAGACTATTTATAATCAAAATTGTTTGCTCTTCCTATAACTTTTGTCTCAGAGCCCTTGAAGTGAAAGTAAATTTGTCCATAGTCGTTTAGTTTAGTTGAAAGTTTCGATGACATGGTTAAAATCATGGGTCCTTGCCGCAAAATGCCGTCGATTGCTTTCTTGCTCTGAGCTCCATGCACACAAATGGCGCTTTACTTTTCATCGTTTCCCTGGTAGCGCTACTACCTGATGTGCTTGTCCTCGAAATTCATAATCGATTGATCAGTCAGCAGTGACTTATGTAAATAAATATAAAACAATGATGCATTCTGTGTTTATGTTAAACTAAAACTCGAAATTATTTCTGTTATGCGTCGTTGCCTTTTGTTGCAAAAGTGGCATATTTAGCTTTCGCATATTTACCTTTCTTCGAAATCCAACATGTATATTTCTGATGAGCCGTTATTTCTTCTTCACTTCTTCTTTAGCATTATTTAATAGATAGTTATGATGTTTGATTTCGTTTGTAATGAAAAAATGTAGTCTTTTTCCAGCCAGATGTCTTATGGTATACTATACTTTATATTACAGCTTTGGAAACATGACGCATCCGCTATGGACGCTTGGCTGTCAGAGAGGGAGACTTTCCTGACGGACGATTGGAAGCTGGCGGACACGATTCTGGCAGTCGATGACTATATTCGAATGTACGACGACTTCCTGATGACGCTGTCGGCCCAGGACGAGAAGTTCAACAGTTTGAAGTGTCTAACGCTGCTAGAGAAGGCTTTAAGCACGCAGCTCGAGTACGAGGAAGAACGCAAGAAGCAGGAGGAGATGAAGCGAGAGAAGCAGCGTAAAGATCACATCAAAACTCTGGAGAAGCAAAAGATACTTAAAGTATAATTTCGAATTCCTTTTCAGCTGTGCTGCAGCTACGTGACCTTTAAGGCGGTAGTTTATGAGGGTTTTGAATTTCGAGATGATTTAATAGATGCCAGTTGAGTTTGATTATGTATTGTCTTTGATGGACAACAACTCTTTTCCAGTTGAGTTTCGAATGGTACGCTACCTTTCGTAAAATAACAATTTATCTAAGAATTAAGTTGCTTAATTTTGAGCACTCTACTCGACTGATCTTTGAGAGCAGAATGAAGAAAAGATGGGTTGAGTATATCTAGTCACATGTTTTAAAACATACTGTTTCCAAAGACAAAGGAATTGACCCCTTTGAAAAGTTCTGCCGATTATCAGGGCAGAATGGCAAAAAAATCATTTCCTTAAACTTATTCTAAAAACTTGAACGTTGACAGTTCATGTTTATGTGCAGTATGCCTGTAGGTTAATCAGATCTGGTCCTGATCTTCTCACAATGCGCTGCAATTCGACGGAGTGTTTTCTTCTTTTTGTAGGGCTGTGCGATTTTTAGGAGAGGAAACAGGAGCGTGAACGTCGAAGGACACAGGAAGTGCAGTTCGTCCGTCCTCAGAGTAACTTTGAGTCGCCGTCCGTCGCCACTCATCCGCCCATGGTAAACGGCAAGCGCAATTCAGACAGCAGCCTGCCGCCGGTGTTGCGTTACGAAGGAAATGACTTAGAACCAGCGAAAGTTGGGAGAATGGGAGAATCTGACCAAGCGGCGCCAACTGCAGCGCCGCAAAATTTG